GCAGCGGCGGCATAGCGTGTGGCGGGTGTTCCACGCACACCCAACAGCGACGCCATTCACAGTATACTACGCCGAGGACTGCGCCGCCACCGCGGTGTAGCCTCCCAGCTGGAGCTGTCCTCTGATGACGGCGGAGTGGCCGAGCGACGATGATAGACCGGTGCCATTGGCGATTGTGGGAGAAGCAGACGAGATAATCTACAGGGAGGGAGGGGAAAATGCGTTGCAGGACTCGCCGGCCATGAGGGTTTATATAGCAGGCCAGTATGCATTGGGATTTTGGGGGATTTCACCGACTCGGGCGGGAAGCTTGCACGGGAACCTGCGGTGTTGCGCGAGAACAGGCTCTCCACCGTTTGGCCAAAAGAACGCCCCCGCGCACTACTCAAGCTTGCACTCTAAGCCGTCAGCGATAGTGAGGTGACAAGACGTGCGAGAGGAAGACGAAAGGACACGTGCACATACGGTTAATAAAATAAAAATGCTTCCGATTAAATTACCTACTACCCGTGTCCTGGTTTATATATAAGTCGTCTATGTATTTTTGTTCCAAATTTTGACTATATATTTAACTAATAAAATACGAATGCATGTTGCCAGAGATTATATCGTTGGATTCGTATTTGAACATAGTTTTCAATTATATAATTTTTGTAACATGCATTAACATTTTGTTGGTTAAATTTAAGGTTAAATATGGCACCGAATATAAAGGGGACTAATAGATCAAGACGGCGGTAGTACCACACGGCTGCTCTCTATGCAGCGACGCAACTATCGGCCGGCTTGTAGACGACTATTTCCTGTATGTTCAACTACTCTATCTGTGTGGTTGCTTGCGGTTGAGGCAGCCGCGACACGCTCTGCTCGCGTCCCGCCGCGCGTGCTCTGCTCTTGAGTCCCTCCATGTGCTCTGCCCTCGTCCCTCCATGCGTACTGCCAGTGTTTGGAGCCGGTGCATGATCACACACGTTCGTGTGCATGCGGTTGCACCGGGCACAGCGGGACGATGCAGTTACCCGCTTAAAAAATTGCCAAGCGGACGCGCCGAGAATCCAGGCTGCCCCGCCCCCATTTATTCCTATGGCCGTTTACCTTCATCTCTCACGCCACACGCCACAATAAGCACACCCACGATGACACATACAGAGAGGACATCCAGCAGTTCCAATGGCGCTTCTAGTGGTCGCCGACGACAACGGCGGGCAGTTCACCACACATCACGTAGTGGACACCCACGTGAGGAGGAATGCCCTCTCGGTGGTTTACACGAACGATCCGGTCTCGGTGGAGAGCTCCATCCAAACTATGAAGCAGTTTCTTGCCGAGGACAAGTTCCAAGTGGTCGGCTTCGACCTCGAGTACACCACCGGTCGTGTCGGGCACGATCAGAAGGTTGCCGTTGCCCAGTTGTGCATTCTACATGACGTCCTTGTCTACCACTACCACCTGACCACAAGGCCTTACGAGCGTTTCTCCAGGTTTATCGACAGCTCCGACTACAGTTTTGCTACGGTGGACACCACCAACGATCTAAAAGCGCTCAAGGTTTCGGGCTTGAAATGTCAGAATCTTGTCAACATCCAGGACAACTACAAGGTCCGGGGCAGCGATAACAACAAACAAAACTTCCTGGTTGACCTTGCCTCGGCCATCGTCGACACCTACTACATGAAGATTAAGGATGGGAGCAAGAACGACAAGAACGCCTGGCACAGTGTCCGGCATGAGAGACTGGATGAACAACACGTCAAGTACGCGGCCAAGGACGTGTACACAAGCTACGAGATGTACATGCGGACATTGACATGAGGGAGTGTCTTCTTCCTTCCCCAGAAAAGGGATCGAGCCACGGAGAAGTGGCGGGAGCATCACAAGAAGTAGATGACTATATGATCATTTCTCCTAGTTTAGAATGCATATAATTATTTATTGAGGTGTGTGCGAATGATCTGTATAGTCACTTATGTAATTGGATGTTTATTTTAGTTATATATATATACATGTTATTTTTCTATAGACAGAGAAAATCACATGGCTTATTAGCAGCAATCGTCCGCGTTACTATTGGTCTTCACACACATTTCTGATTACGGACCTTTTTGCCGCGTATCACACACATTTTGTTCAGTTGAACCGTTTCCATTGTGTTGCCTAATCACACACAATTCATCCTAGTGAACTGTATGCCATATATTGCACACACCCTCATCTAGCTGCCCGTTTCTGTTGTTCTGCATCATCGTAAACAGTTCTTCTGGATTAACTGTTTGCCACTCATCGCACAAGCAACTCTAATATGAACCGTGTTTGATGTAGCCGCCATCGCAAACGTTTTACATCTTTTTTGACGGTTTTATTACATCACCGTTTGTGATTGACGCATCACACACAGTTTCGTTGAAGGGTCTCTGATTCGATTGTCGTGTTTGGACCATCTTGCAGTAGTGTATGGATAGCAAGCCTTCTCCAACACCTTATGATCCCAGTGTGACACTCAGAAAGAACAAGAAGGAAACGAGAGATCAATTAAGATACTCTCAAATTGTCGGTTCTTCATGTACTTAGCTAGTGCTACAAGGCCAGATATCTCTTTTGCTGTGAGCAAACTGAGTAGGTTCATATCCAACATGGGTGATGATCATTGGCATGCACTAGAAATGGTCTTGCGCTATCTGAGAGGTACTATGAGTTACAGAATTACTTATTCAGGGCATCCTGCTATGCTAGAAGGATATAATGATTCAAATTGGATCTCCAATGTTGATGTACTCTATGCAAGAAGTGGGTATGTATTTACTCATGGAGGTGGCGCAGTGTCATTGAGGTCTTGAAAACAAACCATATTGACGAGGTAAACTATGGAAGCAGAACTAACTGCTTTAGACACAACCACTATTGAGGCCGAATGGCTGCGTGAGCTCTTGATGGACATGCCTATGGTTGAAAAACCTGTACTGGCTATTCTTATGAATTGTGACAACCAGACGGTTATTGCTAAAGTGAACAATTCTAAGGATAATGTGAAGTCATGAAGACAGGTGAAGAGACGTTTGAAGTCTGTCAGGAAGTTGAGAAACTCCGGAGTAATAATTGTTACGTATATTCAAACAGACAAAAACCTGGCAGATCCCTTTACAAAGGGACTATCACGAAATGTGATAGATATTGCATCGAGGTAGATGGGTATGAGACCCATAGATGTTACACCATAATGTTAACCCAAACTTTGTGATAGGAGATCCCGTGATTTAGGATCTGGGAAGAACAAGCTATCGGTTAACTGAGGAGAGTAATAACTAATGACCGTCTCTAAGTGAAGATGCAAAACTCTCAGAGCTGTAAGGTTCGGCGCTGTAAGGCGGGTTGGCAACTTGCCTTAATGTGGTTCTATTGGCTATAATTAGCAAAGATGCTATCCTACAGAGCAGTCTTGAAAGAACACACCTATATGAGTTCCAACTGTAAATGTTGCAGTCTATAAGATTTGGGTGATCTCTAGTAAGCTCACAAAGAGACCAGGGAGTATGACCTATAAGCTCCAAACCGCGGGGTAGCCTACTGGCAGCCAGGTACTGGTAAGACTTTGAGTGAAACTTGTTCACACAAAACTAGCAATTCAAGGCATAGTCCATTGTCAAGTTGTGAATAGATGTAGCTTAAAGTTCTAGGTAGAAGTTCAACTTAACAGTCTCTGCTGAAGCACTGGTATATTAAACAAGTGGTGAGATAAGATAAAACTCTAAATGGGTACTTGAGATATGGTGGGGGTGTTAGAATTAATGGGCCTGGCCCATTAACAAAATCTCAAATCTCAAATGAGCCCAATGTAAAATGACAAGTGGTGGTGCTAAAGTTTAGTCCCATCCCGAAAGTTGAAGAAGAGTTGGACCTCTTTATATAGTGAGTTCTCTCCGCCACTCTAAGTGGTGTGTTGAGAAGAGAAAGGGAAGACCACACGCGCGCGCTCGCTCGCCTCGCCGGGCCGGGCCATGGCGAGGCGGCGCGTACGTGCGACTTGCGCGTGAATGGTCCTCCGAAATCCGGTCTGTTGCCTTGCAGGGATGCGGCTTCCTTTTGCCGTTCTATTTTTATGTCTTGGCAGACAAGTTAATGATTTCTTGTCTGGTAAGTATATGAATTAGAAACCAAGTTGGTTTGGGATTGTGATCGTGACACAATACCACCTCGGGTCCTAATATATATACTGCTACCGGCTCCGGCCATACACATATCGAAAACACCTAGGATTTTGCGTCGTCTCACAACTTGCGCTGCCAACGTAGTCTACTCTATTTCGAACGCTGACGTGCATCGGCGTGCGGGAGAGCAGGTCTCCGGAACTGTTCGTCTTTGCGATCCTGCACCGGGAGAGGGCGAATTAGGGGTTTTTGGAAGCGCTCTGCGCGACTGCTCAAGTTCGTCATCACGGGTCATCTTCCGTCCAAGTCAGGCAGTGCTACTCATCGTCGTCTTCACCGCCGTCAACAACAGATCGTCGCCAACATCGTCATCAACACGGTCACTCCTGCTGCAACTACCGAATAGTACGTCAACCGTGATCTGTTCATGTCTCTCTCTTTGAAGTTGCTATTTTCTGGGCGATGCTGCTGTACATGATTTGTTGCTCTTCTAGTTTGCTACATTGTTGCATGCTAGTTTGTGTGCTAGTCATGAATTATTTACTGAAATTAATCATGAACTTGCCTAATATTCCAACAAAAATAAATAGAAGTTATTGATGACAAGAAAATGAGTTACAAGAACGTTCTACACCGAGTGTATTGTGCTATGATGATACGACGTCGTGTTGGAGACGATCACAATTTGGATCACAAGTAAACATCTTGTTGTGTGTTATATACTATGCTGTTTTTTGGGCCTTGTGTACAGCTGGACGCACAAGTACATACGTTGCTTTCAGCTTAATATAAACAAAAAGTACATATCTTTGATACACCTACACATACGCGTACATGCCCGAGTTTAGTTAAATCTATCTAAGAAGCATATTTATCTTTTCCTGCGAGGTATGATGCATTGATTCCGCTCAACCTGGTGCCTGCTTCTTTCATGTTCATACGTTCACTTGGGATCTCACGTGTACAAGAAAGTGCTACTTGTACTAGAGAAAGTAAGCATTGGTAGACCACGTTTTCTGTTACCATCTTTCCTGGAGTAGTATAACCCTTGCATTCTTCTTGGAGAGGAATATCGATGACTTCAAATAGTTGATCTGGGAAGTTCTTGTCGACGAAATTGATAATGTTAACTCCATTTTCAAACATAGAATCTGTTGGTCTTTTGCCTGTAAGCATCTCAAGGAGTAGAACCCCGAAACTATATGCATCTCCACAAGTAGATGGGCGGCCACCTCCAGCGTACTCTAGAGATATACCAGCACAATATATAGTTAGTACAACAAGATCAGTATATATTTGCCTGCTAAAATGAGATGCTAAAGTCAAATACATTATGTGGCAAGTAATAATACCTGGAGGGATATACCCTATAGTACCCCGCAGACCATTGGAACTGTTCTCTCCTCTTGATGTCAACCTTGAATCACGGAAAAATCTTGCAATCCCGAAGTCTCCCAGGTAAGCAATCATATCATGGTCAAGGAGAATGTTACTGGGTTTCAAGTCACAATGGATGATTGGAGTTCCAATATCATGGTGCAAATAGTCCAATACATTAGCTATGTTAAGAGCTATGCTTATCCTCTTCGTGAACCCCAGAGGTTTTCTATCTTTCCCGTCCCCATTGTGATGCAACCAAGTCTCCAAATTTCCATTAGGCATGAACTCATAAACCAGAGCTTTGAAAGCATTGCCGGTGGTGTCAGCAGTTGAGCACGCCGTTATAATTGGGAGTAGATTCCGATGCTGAATGTTTCTAACTGCTTCACATTCTGCTAAGAAACTTTTTTCAGCGCCATGCATCTCAAGGTCAAAAACTTTCACTGCCACTTCCATTTTATTGTGCCCTAACTTCCCTTTGTATACCGAACCATAGCTTCCTTTTCCAATTAAGTTAGACTCCGAGAAGTTTTCTGTGGCTTCTTCTAGATCCTTGTGAGATACTTTGAGAAATTCCTTTCCAAAAGGAAGCTGTGATGTATACTTCCTTCTTTTCTTCTCAGTGAGTACAAAGTATATCAGTATGGCTAATGACATAAAGCCAAATACTGGGATCAATATTTTGATCAGATAATATTGCCTTCTTGATTTCAGAGAACCAGCATGACATGAGCCTATATGAAGGTTTGGTGCTCCTCCGCAGAGCCCCCAATTTCCAACAAGTGAAATAGCTGAAGCGTTTTCAAATACACCATTTCTTGGTATTACCCCTTGGAGATGGTTATAGGATAGGTCTAGCATTCGGAGTAGTTGAAGATCATTAAGTTTGGATGGGATGGTTCCCGACAAGTTGTTGTGGGAAAGGTTGAGCATGTTCAAGCTCTTTAGGTTGCCTAAAGATGTTGGTATTTCCCCTATTAGCATGTTCTGGCCCATTTGGATAGTTACCAAATTATGACATTGATCTAAACTAGTTGGTATTTCCCCGGTAAGCTTGTTAGATGAAAGATATAGCTCTATGAGTTGTTCAAGGTTAGAAACCTGCAGAGGTATGCTACCTTGGATGTTGTTATAACTAAGATCTAAGTGTGTGAGCTGTGGAAAATTTCCTATGCTGGATGGCATGACACCATCAAATTGATTTTTGGAAATATCGAGGGATGTCAACTTTGTCAGATTGCCAATGGAGTATGGTATTGGTCCATTGAAGTTATTTCCTCCAAGATCTAACCCTTCTAGATTCTTGAGGGCTCCGATCCATTTTTCAATTGTGCCTGTAAGATTATTGTAGCTTAGCGTTAGGGTAGATAAGTTGTGGTATTTTCCTATGCCCGGGGGAACCGCCCCAGACAAGTTGTTTGCACCTAAATTTAGTTGTTGAAGCGTGATTGATAGGTTACCAAGAGAATTTGGTAGAACTCCATGTAATTGATTTCCATTTAATGAGAGTGTTGTTAGAGGACAAGTGCTCAGTGCACTTAAAAATTCCCAGCTTTGACTGTCCCTTGCTTCAAGCTTGTTATGGTCGAGGTTTAGATACTCTAAATAATTAAGTTTACCCAAACTACTAGGAATCTGACCAGTGAAGCTATTCAATGAAAAATCTACCCGTGTTAGCTGTGAAGCATTGCCCAGTGAACCTGGAATGTCACCTTCAAACTTGTTGATACCCAGTAAAAGATATTGGAGGTTAAACATCATATCACCAGTAATTTCAGATGGCAATCTGCCGCTTAACATATTTATACTCAAGTCTAGTACTTGAAGATAGGAAAGATTGAAGAGTGCTGTTGGAACTCTACCTGATAGGGCATTGGCACCTAGACGCACCTCCAAAACATTCGACAATTTCCCAAACTCTTCGGGAATGCTTCCCTCGAGTTGATTGTTTGCAAGGGATATTTGTTGCAACTGAGTGATGTTGCTGAAGGTTGACGGAATGTTTCCTGTGAGTTTATTGTTGGAAAGGTCCATCATTTGTAGATTGGTGAGGAAACCTATATTTCGTGGAATTGAACCCACTAGCATGTTAAAAGCGAGGTTTAGCACCACGAGTTTGGAACAATTTGGAAGTGTCTCTGGAATACTACCCTGTAATAAGTTGGTGCCTAGTAAAAGTTGTCTAAGGAGGGTTAGGTTTCCCAGAGATGGTGATATTTGTCCTGCCAACTTCAGGCTTTCCAAGTTCAGCACTGTAACGCGCCCCGGGTGCTTTAAGCTGCAGGTAACGCCTGGCCACATACAGTACTGAATGCTGTCATTCCAGGAGCTCAAGACTCCTGTCGGATCTTTTGTGATGGCCTCCTTAAAATCAAGCAGTGAACGTCTCTCCGTGCTGTTATTATGAGCGACAAAGCAATCGGCATTGCCAGCTCCATAAAACAGCAATAATAGTGACGTTAAAACAAGCGAGGTGAGGTTGAACGATCGCCGAGCAGCCATTAGATCTATGTTGCCTGCAAAGGTATGGCATATGCATTTTTAATATACCAATCCCCAACAAACTAAGAATATATCGCATTCATGCATCGATGTACACCGCGTCGCTCTTGCACACCAAGGATGGACCCAGATAAGAGCACTTCCTTTTTTAAGGGAAGAGGAGCAACTACAAGAGTTTGCGCTCGGGGAACAGAAATCAACAGCATTTCTCACGAACATCTTTGCACACTGTGCTCGCTGGAAAAGCTAAGCACGCTAGCTCATAGTAGTTCAGAGCAGAAGAGTGTTACTCTGTCAGATGTTCACTCTTGATTGAATAAACATCACAAGCGCCGTTTTGAAAATACAAATAAGTATGATGACAAGCCTGACAGCAAGGCAGAAGCACAAAATAGATAAAAGATACTGTAATTGCTAAAGTACTGCTGCTGGTAGTAATCAGCACGAGAGATATTAACGCACCTGTGCTCGGCCGGAGCGCGCAGCACGACAACCTTTTGTGCTGCAGATTTGCCGGGGTGGTGGTGTGTGAGTTCTGAAGTGTTGGTTGGATGCTCAGCTGGCTCAGGCCCCAGGGGTTTAAAAGCAGTTTTACAGCTTCCTCAAATCCACACACGTCGGTTTCATCTGCCATTGCCAAGCCTTATCTCAGCTTGACCTCCATTGCAGCGAAGACCTTGACTCGTCAAACATGCCACTTTTCAATTTTTCATCTCTCACAGCCACCGCTTGCGTCGCTGTTTGAGCTGGATAAAATTGTTGCGGCATATCCAGCCTCAATACTTTTCTGCTGCGGCCGGACATAGATCTGACCGAGTCGGAGGGCGACCTGTCTCGATGGTTTCCATGCGGACAAACTTGCACGTGGAATGCTTTTACTAATTCAAATTCTTATATTTTCCAATTGGGCTATGATTTTTATGCATTGTGAGGACCGTGTGCTTCCAGAATGTATTGTGCGGACATCATTGTTTCTTTCTCTTTTTTCTTTTGTTTTTTTTAAGCCGTGTTTCTTTCTCTTCTTGGATATGTTTTTTTTCTTTGAGATGCTTCTTGGATATGTGTTGGAGGGGGTCAAGTAAACCTTTTGCTTTCTTTTCCCTTTTTCATTTTGCTGTCACCCACCTGTTGTAGCCTGGCCACGATAACTTTGCTTTCCGCCTCTCCCCTGCTTAATATATGGAAGTCAGCGGTTTGATGGATCTCACAAAAGAAATATCAGCAAGACATGGTTCTTTTTTTTTTTGAAAAAAATCACATCTCTTATAAAAGTTTACCAGAAGTACAAAGCATCTCAAACATCATAAAAATTACATCGAGATTCCGAGCGAACGATCACTACTGCGACAGAACAAGCCGCCGACGTGCCGTTGTCGCTGCTCCCTCATCGGAGTCAGCTGGACCTTGTTGATGACAGCCGGGAAGTCTTTGTGCACGTGTCCCTAAGGACCAACGCCCTAGAGCCCGAGCCATAGCCATTGAACCCTTGCACAGATCTGAAACAACTGACCCCAAATCTCGCTGCATGACGAGAAACCCTAACCTCGTCGCCCCAAGCAGACCACAAAAATCTACGCGGGAGCTCCGTCGACTACGTCTGTACGGACGAATCAAGGAGAATCGAAGCCCAGAAGACAAACTCGAAGAAGTGCCACCATCCGCCCGAGCGCCACACCTGCAAAAAACCCTAACCTAAACTACTAACCAGAGTGGAGACATCGGGATCGAATACGGACTAAAAAAATTCTAACCTAAACTACTAACTGGAGCAGAGGCACTGAAATTCCCCTCCCCACCACCAACCGCCAGAGCGAGATGCAGAGGGAGGTGAATCCATGGGCTCGCCTATGAAGCTTGGAAGGGAGAGTTTGCCCTAACCGGCTAGAGTTAGGGAAGGAAAACGAGAGGCTAGCTTGGCTTTATACTGTTAAGAAAAACATGATTTAGTAGTAACAAAAATGCAAAATATAATTTTAAGTTGGAAACCTGCAAAGAAAGAGTAACGTCTTAGAATTATTTTTCTTAGAGAAGTGAAATACATTAATATCAAGTTGATATCAGTCGCACGGCCTTCACAAGAATGCAAAGCCCTGCAAAGGAGGGTTGTTGGGTCTGGCAGGCGGCCAGATCTGGCTCGCCGCCGGTGCTGCTGGCCAGCTTCGGCGGCAGCGAGGTGTGATGGGCGATCCCTGTTTGGCGATAGTGCGTTCGCTATGCAGGGGTGTGCAGGTCAGTGGAGGTTCGCGTGATGGAGGTGTTGGTTGGCGTTGGCCAACTGCATTGGAGTGAGGGTGTGCTGCTTCGAGCGAAAGTGTGACCAGTGCTTGCCTGCCGGCGGCAGCGACGCCTGCGGGCGCCACCGAGGAGATCTGTGCATCCTCTTCTTCCAAATCGAGCTCTTCGGATGAAAGCCAATATCCTATTAGGATCAGGCGCAACCACGGGACCTCCTATTGCGCCAAAAATACCTCGCGACTGGTATTCGATCTCGCGCCCTCGCGCTTCCACACAATGAGGATAACCACTGGACAAGCTAACTGCTTGTGAATATTCATAGCACAAAATATTTAAATAGTAGAAACGTAGACGCGCTATTTATTGCGCACTATAGTGTAGCGGTTATATTTTCTAATTATTTGAAGGCAAGTTCACATATCACAGATGAAGTTCATGAGCATGGAAAAAAGTTTGCGTATTCAAAAAATAATTCACCAAATCAAAAATGTTCATGTATTAAAAAAAGTTCACGAATTCAAAAGAAGTTCATCAATTTTCAAAAAAATCATCGAATTTGAAAAAAAAATCATCGAATTTAGAAAAATTTCATCGATTTTGAGAAAAACTTCCATAAACAGTAAAAAGCTCATCAAATTTGAAAAATAAGTTCCTCGGTTTTGAAAAAGGTTCATCTATTTGAAAAAATGTTCACGAGTTTCAAAAAATTCAGTTCATAGATTTAGAAAAGAAGTTCATCTATTTGAAGAAAACATTTACGAAATTGGAAAAAGAAAGTAGAAAAGGATAGAAAAAAAGAAAAAGGAAGGTATAAAGAAATTGGTGAAAACATGCATGTTTATCACACCTTTTTTTTGTAGTTTATCTGGTGTGTTTAGAAAACAGGAAAAAAATGCAATATGGCCGGCCCGACTAAGACGCGGGGTTTAACGAAAACAGTACAAACCGGCGCCAAATAGGTATTGCCCCTGCCACCAGTTACAGCGAGAAGGTGCGGGCTGAACTTTTGGTTTGGGCCCTGTGACTGACCACCGGTCCGATTTGGCTATAGTCCCGGGCAATGATGTTAAGTTACTACTGCTTGATCGGTTAATAAGTACTGTCGCTTTTGGCCGGAGCAAACAATACGGCAACCTTTTCTGGTCCTGGAGCGTGCGTGAGTTCTGAGTTGGATGATCAGCTGTCTCGGGACCCTGGCGGTTTAAAAACAGTTTTACAGCAGCCTTGCATCCACAATTTGTATCTCATCTGAAACAGCGTGTATGAGTAACCCCAAGGGTATAAGAACACAATTACAGCGGCCTCTCATCCACACACATGCATCTCATCTGAAATTCCAACGCCTTATCTTAGCTTGACCGCTGCTACAGCGAAGACCTGGAGTCAGTCAAGCTTTCCAGTAACCGCCACTTTTCACCTCTTTGTTGTCCACCGGTGTGGTCGCTGTTTGAGCTGGACAAGGTTGTTGCGGCATATCCAGCCTCTGAATCCCACAGGTCTAGCCATTGTCCAGCTATATAATTTTCGACCGGAAACGGACAGAGATTTTCTGCCCTGACGTGCGACCTCTCTCGAGCGGTATCGATGCTGACAAACATCAGCATGTGTAACGGTTTACTGGTCTGAGGTCCTCCTTTTTCTGTTACGTTGTTTTTTTCGTCAAAAGAAAATTGTGGTTGGTTCTCGCTTATTTGGATGGACTGGCGGGTCACGTAAACGTGTATCTGTTCGATATGGACGAAAGAGCCACGATACACATGCCGCAGCTTCCACGGAGGTTACGCTGAGGGTGGACATGGTCCGATACGGGAAGAAATCTCTTGCGGCGTGCACCACGTAATACGTAGTTCATTCAGGGTCTTTGAATTTTCATTTTAATATTTACAACATGACTTGCTATACATCTATTCCAGTAGATATTTGTGTGTGTGTGTGTGTGTGTGTGTTTGCGAAATACATATTTGTGTGTTATCCTTCAAAAAATCATGGTTCATACTTGCTGTCATAATATAGATCATCAAGGCAATGGATGTGTGACGAATGCAGTTTTTTTTGTGAAACAAGGCAAAATATTTGCCATTTTCATTAATTAAGAAGAGGTTTTGTTACAAGCAGACCATGAGGAGGTGCCAGGCGGTCAAAAGGCAAAACAATTATTCTCGCGGCATTACATTACGCAAATGTTTGGCGCCCGCAATGGCCCAAATGGACACTTCTCCTTTGATGCATCGTGTGATGATCGCCACTGGCGCCGCCTTGTTCCTGAAGACGCATGCATTCCTTTACTTCCAAAGTTCCCATCCCACAAGAAGAAGGGAAGATAGAGCTTTCGCGGGTTGAACATTGTTAGTGAGTAGCGCATCCCACCAAGACTTGACCGTGTCAAACTGAAGCCAAGGAGACGTGGGGATATTTAGACCAAGCCAGGCAAACACCTCATTCCAAACTCGAGTAGAGAATCTGCACTTGAAGAGGAGGTGAGCCGCAGATTCTTGCACCTGATTACAAAGTGAACATTGATCGCAGTTAGGTCATCCTCTCCGCTGTAGCCTATCGGTAGTCCAGATTCTGTTTTGAGTGACCAGCCAGGCAAAAAATTTACACTTGGAGGGGGCCCAAGCCTTCCAGACCGTGACATGCAAGCTTGAGCGAGTAAGCCCAGCAAACTGCACCATATAAGCAGACCTAGCTGAGTATTGGCCATCGTTGGTTAGCTTCCATAGGATCGTGTCCTTGACACCCGGTCGGATGATGACAATCAGAAGCTTCTCCCGTAGTTCCAAGAATTGTTGGAGGTGCTCAAGCGTGAGGCCATTATGGTAATCAATTTGGTTTATCCAGTGCCCATCCCTCCAGGCCGTGGCAACAGATACCCCCTTCTTGCATGAAATCTCAAAAATCTTTGTTGTTAAGACATTAAGGTTGCAACACCCCCCCCCCCCCGGTCGGTGTCAAAACCGGCAGATCTCGGGTAGGGGGCCCAAGCTATATGTCTGAGGATCAATGGTAACAATGGACAAAGGGACATAATGTTTACCCAGGTTCGTGCCCTCTTAAAGGAGGTAAAACCCTACATCCTGCTTGATTGTATTCGATGAGTATAGTGGTTACAAGAGTTGATCTACCTTGAGATCGTAATGGCTAAACCCTAAATTGTCTAGCCTATCAATGTTATGATCCCGTCTCCGGTCTAAACCCTCCGGTTGATATAGACATCGGAGGGGCCTAGGGTTGTACGGAGTCGGTTTACAGAGAAAGGAAATAGCATATCCGGACACCTAATCTTGTCGTTCATGCATACATGAGTCCTAAACGGACACGGGAAGTGGTCTTCTTCCTTCATCTTTAGAGCCCATCAGTCCGGCTCATATTGAATAGGCCGGACGCCCGAGGACCCCC